GATGAACGTAGGTGTAGCCCCGAAGAAGAACCCTGAAAAAAAGAACCCCTAAACCCTAAACCCTTAACCCCAATCCCCAATCCCTAAACCCTAAACCCTAAACACTAAACCCTAAACCCTAAACCTACCTAGCTACCGACTCTAAACCTTGGGGGATTCAGACCCTTGGGGGTGTTGCAGTTCGAGGCTCTGGGTTTTGGAGTTCGGGTTTTTGGGGTCGGGAGTTGGGGAACAGGAGTTCAGAAACCTAGTGGCCTTGTGGGTTCCGTTTAGGGGTTTAGGGGTTAGGGGTTTAGGGGCTTAGTGTTTAGGTTTTAGAGGTTTGGTCACGTTTAGGGTTTAGAGTTTAGAGCTTTGAGTAGATTTTAGAGGTTTGGTCACATTTAGGGTTTAGAGTTTAGGGCTTGAGTAGTTACTGCACGTCTGAGCGCGACGCGTCTGAGAACTTACCGCCCCGACATCTCAGGCAACCCAAAAGTCGCAGGCGAAACCCTGCGCGAGTCTCGGTCTCCTCAGGAAGGGGCCTAAAGGGTTTAGGGTTTAGGGTTTAGGGGTTTAGGTTTGGGGGTTTAGGGATTATTTTGGTGGTTCCTTATTGTGATGATAGTATAACGGGCCCCAAAACCTTATTCTAACTATTACGGCCCCTATATTGCCTCTTCCGAACAGACGTCAAACCCTAAACCCTGAAGCTGCACTACCCTTAACTCTTCTGCAAACCTTCCGTGAGGGTGTAGAACAGTGGCCTTCGTAATTAGAATTTAGGGGTAATATTCTGCCATAAGGAACCCCCAAAACCCTATTCTAATTATTGAGGCCCCTACAGTAAACGCCGGGGCCATAAGGACTCTCCCAACCCAGCAACCTCCAAAGCTGATTTCAGCCGCCAAAAAACCTCGATTTGTTAGGCCCGAATATAAAGACGGATTGATGAGAATAATAGGCGCCTAAATAGTGACCAGTACTTTTTGGGGGCTCCTTGTTTAATTACAGTATAAGGGGGCCCTAAAACCTATGCTAATTATTTTAAGGCCCTTATATTATCCCTCTGATGGCTAGCCCTAGACTCTCGTGCCAGGCTGGGGTCCTGCGGTTTGCGGTGTCGCAGGGCCTGGTGCCCCAGGCCCGGGGGAACGTGCCTGACGTGCACGGGCTTTAGGGGGTTCAGAAAGCCCTTAAAAGCCCTAAACCCTAAACCTCAAATCCTAAAACCCTAAACCCTAAACCATTAGGTTGTAGGGTTCAGGATTTGGGACTTTGTGTGTTTGGCTCGGGGTTTTGGGTTTGGGGAGCACTGTTTAAGGTGGTCGTCGGGTCGCGCAAAGCGAGCAGACCCAATCTCGAGAGGAAGCCATTGAAGGATAACTTCTTACTCACGAGCAAATGGCCGCTTCTTCTTAGGGGCTGAGTAGGTAACCTTTAACCCTGTGGGGCTTATTTAATCTTACTATAACTTAAAAGGTTAACCTTTTTTGGGCTAAGGTACTCAGCCCCTGAGTCTTTAATTCTGAACACCTTATGTCAGCGTCCTTAAATACAGAAGGCGACCATGCAGACTTTCATAAAACGGTCGTTGATGATACTTGAAACCATAGCAACCCCTTAAAGAACTTGATCGAGATACTTCTAAAGCCATTTGGTGAAAGCCAACCCCAAGCTCCAAACCCTGAAAGCACCTTGTGGAAACCCTGCACTAGACCGTCATGCAGCCCGTAAGAGTCTTCCAGAGGGTTTAGGTTTAGGGTTAAGGGTTTAGGGAGTCTGAGACCCTGACATTTAAAGATCACAACAAATATTTTCTGCAGCTCCCATTGTTCGTTTCAGGCTATCAACCCGCTGAACCCCTACCTTATCCATAGATCCCTCGCCCCGCCCTAAAGCACTGCGTTTTGCAGTCGGCGGCCTCGTTCCCACCGCGTGAGCCCGGATCTTAGGGATCCTTGAAGGGTCCGTAAGGGCTCTACAACAGGATTCCAATGAGGGTTTAGGGTTTAGGGCCGTGACATAGGAGCCTGAATAATTCGCCTTTCGTTCCTTGCAATACAAGTAAACTATACTCTGCCGCCAAACCCTGTTCAAATTGTTAACAACCCTATATTCAGGTTTAAGGGTTCTTGCAAAAAGCTTTAAGACTTGATGAGGATTACCAGCCGAAGCCTTATTCACGCTCGCTCACAGCAGGAACGTCTCGCAAAGTACGTTACGGACTGCCGGCGAGTAAGCCTCCTTTCCCGTTCATACGTTGTGAGAGTGAGAACTCTCAAAACCTTCTTCGAAGAAGGCCCCAGTAGGTCTGGCCTCCCAGGTATGCCAAGCTGCGCATGGCGATCCAACTCAACGGCTTCAGGTTCGGGAGTTTGGACGGCGCAATTCAGGGGGTGGCATGTCGAGTTTCGCGTGACTACGGGAGCCTGCGTAGACCGCTAATAATAAAGTTATTCAAGGGCTGTAAGGACCCCTAGATAGGGTCAGGGTTTTAGCGCTTTAGG